TATATATATATATATATATATAGAGCAACGGGTATTTGTTGTTAGAGCGGAGTTTTCACGAAGCGTGTTCTCCACGAAATTGCCCAATCGAGGGGTTCCGTTTACGCTTGGATTTCCTCAAGAAATTTCGCCATATACCGTAGCAAACCCCGCCAAGTGCGGTCCGCGAAATTCGCGTTATCTAATTATCGAGATATTTACTATTGCAAAGGAAAAGCTCACGGCGAAACGACGCTCCCTCACAAAATTACAGAAGGATCTGTTAGTTGTGCGAAATACTCCGTGCATAAATGTGAAACGTGTAACGATCTACAAAGTATTTCGTGGCCAACAGCTTTGGAAAAGACTCTATATGTTAGAAAGTTATATAAAAAAAAATATATATATATGTTGTTGTGATTACAAATGTTGTGTAGGTATGTGCGAGGAGGACTGGAGTGCGAAACAGTCGGTCGCCAAGCGACAGGCTTACGGGTTATAGCTTATAGTTTAAAGCTTAATGACAAAAGCAAAGTTGTAGACGAGGCCTACGACGTCCAAATGATGTCTTTTCGACATGCATGTTGCGTAGGAAAAAGAAAGCAAGTACTTTCGTGCTTTTTTCGTCTTGTACAAAGAGATCTCTGATAAAAGCGCTATCGCGTTATTTTCATTTGTCTCGTAATTTGACGTTATGTAATTGTTATTCTTACGAGGAAAATTCGGCAATTGCTGCTATCTCTTTATAGCTGTGTCTCGATCTTCACTGTCAGTGCTGAAAATCTACAGTTCATGTTATGTACACTATAGATTTTTAATAATAGCAACGAAGATCGGAACGCGTCCTATATCGTTCTCGAACATTAAACAACTGAAATGTAATTGTTAAATTCTGACAATTTTAAAGAAACAAAATTTTCATATGAAAATAAAGCTATTTTTTTCGTTTTGATTGTAAAATGGTTTTAAAAGTGGAAACACCCCTCAATAGAAATATATTTTTTATATTTTTGCGATATCTCTGAAATCATAAGATTTGCAGAAATATTGAAAAAACATGAAAAATTTTTCTCATATTTCCTTCGTGGGGATATTTCTGATCGTGGAACTATTTCAACTATAACAGAAAATAAATATATTGCGAAATTCAATTCATGCGCTCTCTATTTATGCAAAGTTTGATATCTTTTCACATTTCACGACTGTCAAATATTCCTCGTTCATATTAGAGAATCATTGTCGTAATCGAGTTGCGCGGATTAATTTACGTCCCGAATACATCAGTATATTTGAACTATCGCCCTGCGTGGCACTTGTCTTCGCGACCTCTCCTGATCAGAGGGCAATGATAAGCGCCGAGTCTTCGTCATTGCCGAATTATTAATTCAAGCGAATCGTTTCTCGTGTCAGGGCGCAGCTTAACGACCGGTGACCTCGCACTCAAATAAACCGAATGTTCCTCTTCGCGCATGCGATCCACCGTGGTGGACTTTAGACGTGTGTATTTTATAATTATCGAGAGAAAGACGGAGCTCGTTCCACTCCCGTTGATGGCCAGTGCGCATCCGGCGATGGGTGCGCTCACGGATTTTACAGACTTTAATACGGTATATTTAACGTGCGGGCACGCACGAGCGCGTGCGCGGACGACGTTCTCCGCCGCGAGACGCGGGAACGTACACTTTCTAGTTTGTACTTCTCTACGGCGAATGTAGAAAGGGTGCCACACATTCGACGTTACATTACTATTGCAAATGACCAACTTGATAGATCGCTCTATGTACTTAATGACGTATTACTTCTTCTGGTGCATTTGTAATGAATAAACGATTATACCGTGTGTCGTCGAGCTTCCCACGTCACATTTCCTCGTCCCTCGTAGCTCCTCCGGCTCTGAAACTCCGGAGCTTCAGAGCTGAAACCGAGAGATCGTCTAAGCGGGGAGAAACCACGAATCGAATTACGGAGAACTGTCTGTGATAATGCAAAACAAACGCGATTAAAGAGAAATTTACTCGAGATCGACTCGACCGGCGTAATTATTTCAATCGTTGCTTCATTACTTAAGTGGAAGACCTGTTGAATAGGCAGGATAAGCATGGTTAAGTGGGATAATTTGGTGAGACGGAGGTGTTGTGACGCATATGTGTAATGCATTCAGCGACATGCGGATTTGTACATTTATTTTGTAAATTATCATTTTAAAATGATAATAATGTTATTGATATTAATAATAATTGTATATCGTAATGCCATAACACCTGACAATTGACCATGCCTATCTAAGTAATGTACAGCGCTTAATGTATAATTAATAAAAATTAGTACCGACTCTCTCGTACACTTAGTTATCGCAGGAACTCTCGTGGCGAACGAAGAAGGGAGAGTGTGAGCTGCCACCGATGATACCTCATTAGCTCCTATCGGTTTCATAATCTTCGCTCGTTACGCTCGCTCGCAAGGCGAAACAGAAGAAAATACAAGAAACATTTAACATCCTACTACATCCGTATGTCAAACGCAGTATGTACGTATTATCAACAGAATTACTATTCGCGATTACGCGTCCGGACCTTACATGGCGCAAGTTCCCGGAAATTTCGTGTACTGTGTCCTTTCCGCCGGTTCGCGTTCGTCTCGAAAATAAATGTGAATTATGAAACGAAGGACGAGTGAACTACTACTTCTGAAACAGGCGACTGCACCGGCATTCTCATTTTCCTTACGATGGAGTAACGACGGACAATTGGAAACGAGTGGTACACGCGAGAAATAGGAATTTTTAATTTTAAAAGATCACTTCCGACCATCTCTGTAAAAGTTCACTCGCGACAACGCGCGAGAATACACTTATGCTTTGAAATTATTTCCATTTAAACCGCCATCTATCTTTAGATCGCTTGTCAGAATAAGCCCGATTCCGTACAATTTCGAGCCAGCGGAAAACGCGAACACAGGAAACTAAAAGTATAGGGAACAATTATAGAATTGTAAACTTAATGTTCTTTTCTTCTTTGCTCTTTAAAAGCTCACATATCTCTTTACCTCTTAATCTTCTTATGAACATATGTGCATGCAAGCATACAATTAAACGGTCATACATACGCTTATGCACATTTACTCACGCATACATACATACACAAAAATACAGTTCTGCTGCTGGGAGAAGTATTCGTGATGCTTGAATTAACATTTCGAAAAAGTAGGCAGATTATATCTCGACGAGTACCTACACAGACGGTATAAGACAGAGAGTATGATGCTAAGTAATAAGAGTATCGATAAAATTTCATTTATAATTTACACAATGCATTTACCTCGACGAAATTGTCTTGAATTTATCTACATCTTAGCCGAACACAAATGTCCTCGTCGTTCGTTCCTCATCTATACATGCACGTATCAATCGTGCGTAAACGAAAAGCTCTTCCGACCCTTTTGTTTTCTCCGATGACGGCCGAGAACTCGACGATTTTGAATAATACTCGAAATAAGTACACCATACGAGTTATGAACTTGCGCAAATTAGCTCGTTCGCGAAGATACCGTGACTGGCCGTTGTTGCTACGGTTAATAAAGGCAGGGACACGCTAATACCGCAATACAAACACGACGAAATAATCGGCCTAATCGGAAAAAAAACCGAGAAAAAGAGTAAGAGGGGGTCAGGGTGCAGGCAAAAGGGAGGAAAGAGGGAAAATAGGACGACGGCGACTTTCCCAAGGGGAAAACAGTCGTCTTGCACCATTTATTTGTTTCTCGCTGACCGTCGCGCGGCCGTATCATAACGGTAGTTTGCCAGATCAACCTGCTCGCCCGACACATAAAACTGATGCCCAGTGATGCGCGCAACATTATATCGCCACGACTCCGCGCCAACTTACTTGCGGCTCGCCCGCCCGCCGCGCGAAGCCGTGTCCATGTTCCGAGTGTTTGCGTATAACAGACGGTCGGTATCGATAAAAACGCGGAGAAAAATTTGTCGCGCTCGGAAGACCCAACGAAGAAACGCGAGGCGATACTTTCATGTTGCGAATCGTACGACTTCGCGATGCATCCCGCACGTATCGGCGCGCGAATAGCATGACAGTGTGTTTTACTTTTCCGGCGGTTGTTCTATTCCCGAATCGGCGACCACCGAATGCGGAATAGTCCTCTACGATTTCACGTGCGTCACCACCACCATTACCACCACCATCACGGCGCTCTGGATCGTGCCTCGTAATCGACATGAGCCTACGACAAAGTTTCTGTATTCTTAGGATTATCGAGGTACCGTCTGTCGGAGACGAGGTGATTTTATTTCCTAGACTTTCCGATCCCCGTTACGCGCAGCACTTGGTGCATCCTATGGCGGAGCATCACGAGGCGTACATCCGGTTGATTTCGTGCTGATAACGCTCCTGCACCGCTTTCCTCTTGAGCTTGAACGCCGCCGTCACCAGGCCCATGTCGGGCGACCATTGCTCCGCGCACAGCTTCACCGCGCCCGGTATCTCGAATCTTTGCAGATTACCTGCGAGCAAACCGTGGTTTGAAGCTCGTCGACCGGTGACGACGTCCCAACGATAAAAATTCGATTGAAAACTACGATAATAGCGAGGATGAAAGAGAATAATGAAACGGAACATAGAACGAATATAACAAATATCAGTTAAAAAACTCTACGGATATTCAATCAATAAAAAATAAAATTACAAATAGAAGCCATATTAAAAGCCTGCGCACGGTCGGTTCGAATTAAAACAAAGTCAGCCGGTTAGTTGCAATTAAATCGAAGTCTCGAACTATTTAAGTGACATCTACAATATTCAATAATGTTACGGAGTTAGTGTGTCTGAGCGTTTCGTGTGCAAAATAGTGTAGAAACTTACATTTCAGCGCCTGTGCGACGAGTTCTTGCAATACCGCCTTCTCGATATTCGGATCGCTGCAAAGTGCCGTCCGGCTCCTTTCGGTCATACCTAGGTTGCTGGCGATCTCCTCCAGATAATACTGGTTAGGCACAACCAGCGCCACCGTGTACGCCTTGTTCGCATCTCCGTAGACGCAGATGTTCTCTACGACCGGGCAGGTCTTCAACTCGGCTTCGACTTTGCCCAGGGAAACGTATTCGCCGAGCTGTAGTTTCACCAGATCCTTCTTCCGGTCTGCAAAGAAACATAATCATCATTGGCGATACGCTTCGTCGAAATAATCAAGTTCTGCTCACAGCTTATCTCGAGCAACGCCTACCGATAATCTTCATGGAACCGTCCGGATGAAACTCGCCGACGTCACCCGTTCGGAACCACTGCCTTCCGTCCTCTTGGAAAAAGTCCTCCATCGTCTTCTCCGGCAGCTTGTAGTAACCCGCGGAAACGATGTCGCCGCCGATCAGGATTTCACCTCTGGGATGTGGGTAATCCGTGACTCGGTAACCAGCTTCCTCCCAATTCTCCAGTCGGATGTCGCACACCGTGGTGGGCGCTCCGACGCGTCCGGTGGTTCTGTCGTGTTCTAAACAAACAAAACGAGGAATACAGTGCAACAACGAAAGTGGTCGGAGCTTTAAGCCTGTTGTATTGTTTATGATTGAGGATAAATACCATCCATAACGGTTGCGCAAGAACTCGTTTCCGTAAGACCGTATCCTTGAGTCACGGTGACGCATAGGCAGAGTTTGACTTGATTATGAGTGTCGGGGCTGAGCGGGGCGCCGCCGGAAAGAACGAGCCTGACACGACCGCCGAGTACCTGCTTCGCGTGTCCGAAAATGTACTTGTCGAACAGAGGCGTCTCGTATCCGCGTTTCGTCCATTTCAGTTTGTATTCGTACGCGAAATTGAAGATTGCTTGTCTAAACGGACCCGATTTCTTCACTTTCTCGTTTATGCCTTTGGAAATGCGATCGAGAATAAGCTGAAACAAGCAGCGAAGTTGATTACACTTGTCCAGCGCGATCGATGTTTCTTTGGGAAATTTATATAATTTATCTATTTATAGAATATTCCCTTTGTTAGAATTTATATAGAAAGCAAGAAGTTTGTAAGCGTGAGGAATCGCAAGAAACCCGTCCGGGGTCCGCAAGGACACTCACCGGTACAGCGGTTAAGCAAGTTGGATGCAGGACGGACGCGTCACCCTTCGATCCTTTCTGAATCTTGCTACTCGAATCAATCAACGTGAGCGGCGTGCTGTAGCCGATGGGCACTCCGGTTAGAAGGCACACACTCTCGGCCAAGAGCTCGAATACGTGCGCCAACGGCAAGAAACCGAGGAAAACGTCATCTGGCCTGATTTGTACCGCGTCGCAGAATGCTTTTAGAGTGCTGAGGATGTTCTTGTGGGAGAGTAGGACGCCTTTCGGCACTCCAGTCGAACCCGACGTGTACATAATTATAGCGGTGTCATTGCCCTTCGGCGGTGAAGCGCCCGTGCTCGACTCGTTGCCCATCTTGACGACGTCAGAGAAACGTACTAATCGTACACCATCCTGAAAGTAAAAGCGCGTTATCGAAAACGCGAAAAAAAAAGAGGGAAAAAACCAGAAAAATGACGTGCCACCAGTTGCCAAGGCGGCCGGTGTCGACATTATCGGCAATTATGTAAATGACAATAATAGTCAATCACAGTCAATGTCACATTTCATTAAGCGAAGATTCGAATTTTCAGAAGGAATTATCTACCGACCGATTCGATCGTGACCTGATAAGATCATTTGTTCAAATTACTAATTAATATTTTCCGATATTTACTCTATTTTAAAACTGTACAACTATCATGTTATCACTGTAAAAAAAAAAAACGCGAAATTCAGCACATTTGTAACATCTCGCGCGCGGATTCGTTCACCGAACGATGATTCATCTTCTCATACAAAACGATGGATTTAAAACGCACCTTGTACCCCTTCGTTTCAGTCGGCTTGAGCTGATCCTCCATATAGATAACTGTTTTGATAGCTGGTACCATGTCCAATAGCCGCTTGAATTTTGGCAGGAGTTCGTGACTCGTAATGACGGTGTCCACCTCGGTTTCATTGATACCATGAGCGATGGCCTCGTCACCTAGGGTCGCGTAGATCGTCACCACGGTGAAGTTCTGTTTAAAGCACGCGTGCGCCGCGATCATCCATTCCGCTCGTGTCTCGGCGAAGATGACGATGCTCTTGCGCGGCTTCATGCCCAGGTCCGCCAAACCTCGACCAAAAGATGAGGCGAATCTATCGACTTCTTGATAAGTCTTCCACTTGTACTCTCCCATTTTATACTGTAGAGCGAATGGGATTTTACAGTCGAGAGTCAACAATAAAACTGAAAAACGTATAATTTTCTGCCTAGGGAATGGTAAAACATACACGGAGTAAACATTGTAGCAAAAATTAGCACAAAAGTTTGTAACGTTGAATTATCATCATTATTAGATACCAGAATTATTATCGAAATTATTACGTGTGTCGCAATCTTTAGTTATATGTACCCATGATCACTAAAGATTACAACACATATCATAACTTCAATCATAACTTCAGTATAGTCCAGCATTATACCATCTTATAGTAATTTTCATTGCAATATTTTCCCCGTATACGTCACGCTCACTATATCGCAATAGCACTGGAAAAGGACAATAACGATTCGTGGTTTCTTTTTTCCTTTCTTCTCTTTCCTTTTTTTTTTAAATTTAGCCTTTAATAGACTCTTAATGTCACGAGAAAGCTTTTCACGTTAAAAAGGGTCGGCCGTTGGAAGGATTCATCTTGTTCGCGCGACGTAAGACCCGACGCGAGAGACGAGATGCGTCCCGGGAGCGTCTTACCTTCTTGAAGATTCTGCCGTTAGATTGAGTCTCATCCTCCTCAGCCAAGATCTGCCTGGTACCAAGGCACTTCTTGTCACCGTGCATCTTAACGACCCAGAGGAACATCTTCTCCAGAGTCTCGATCTTTTCGCGCTCGAGCATGATGTGCATCGGCCCCGGAGAGTCGACACTTCTGTAGGTGATGGTGGTGTCATCTTTGGAGATCGGTCGGGCCTTGACCCGCCTAGAGGCCTTGCGCTTCTCCCAGGGCCGCTGTAGTATAAGATACACGGGGAACGTCAGCAGGTCGTACACATATGAAAGCGCCTTGATCGCGTGGATCGCCCCACTGATCCAGAAGCCCTCCATTTCCCTGCGAAGCAAAGGATACGTTTACGTATTTATCTTTTGGCTGTTCTTTCTATCTTCTCTGTCTCTTTCTCCCTTGGCTGTGATATTCTTTAGGTTCGTATCACACCGACGATTTGACAGAAACGTCAAATATTTGAAAATAATCTGAGAAAATAATCTGAGAAAATCTTTTATTAATCACTGTTTAAATGCTCGTCGTTATAAGAAAATAATAAATGATGAATAGATAGTTATTTTCTTTTCGGAAGATGCTTTTATAGAATGTGGAAAAAAAAAACATATTTCTTCCGTATCATCGGAAACACGAATGAGATCGACATCAAAAGTGCTGTTGCGTCATTTGCTTACGTTTATTATGCCTTAATCTGCGGAAGTGTGACGTAAAGCTTAAATGACGTGAAATTTCAACTATTATTGTCACTATTATTATTACCCTTATCTTTGTAATATTCCACTCTACTTATCTATCTGAGCTAATAGCTTCGAAGCGAGTAAAGAGGATCATTCGAATTCATGCATCATGCAATTATAACGTGTTTAAATAATAACAATAAGGCAGCAAGCGATAAGCGGCAATTACTTATCGGCATCATTTTAAAATATTCGTTGACAAAATATCAATTGCCTGTATTATCTGCCTGTTTTACGCAACACGTGTGATCGACCGTACACGCTTATCATGCCGCGCATATAAAAGAAAGGGAAAACTATCGTAGGTACATCTATCACGATCGATAAATTGATAGGACATAAGAAGCCATCGAAGCAATAAGATACAAGATAAATTCGATCGGCGTGTGTAACGATAATTGCATGAGAGTAATTGCGCTTTCGCACCTGAGGAAGAACTCAACTGGGCGCGTACTTCAGTTGATTAGTTCGCCGGCACTTCCTCGTAAGGTGTCACAATCTAACACTTCGTCCGTAGTCCATCGACGTTGTTCTCAACGTCGATAAAAAACAATAAAATTTCCGCTTAATTGACTACAAGAACTAGCCGACTGCATCCCCTTTAACGCTGCATACGACATGCAAAAATGCATCGATGATCGATAAATTTTTAATCCGGCGGATAGAAGGAAAATATTTCGCGCACATTATGTGGTTTTGGCGCTTTTTGGTCCTTTTTCTGTTTACCTTTTTAAAGTGCCTTTTGCACGGATTAATCCGCGCTTTCATCAAATATTCAACGCAAGCTCGTTAACGTATTAACCGAGGATAGCTACTTATAAATCAGGAAATGAAACGCGAGCTGAAAAGTTCCTTCGCTTTGTTCAACTCACCAAGCAACTTATACGGAAAAAAGAAAACTTAATACCGCCGCGATTGCACTCGTGAGATATACACGAATGGCAGATTGAATCATCAGTAATCCTGAAAAAATATGAAACTCTCGTTGTCCGCTTTAACTACGGCTTTCGTGATATTAAGTTCGGTCCCGATAAAATATCACTGTGCAACTACAAAGTTAATTTGGATCAGCAGACTCGCAGCATATCGGTTCTCGGTCGATTCTCTCTTATTCTACTCGCTATCGATCGCGCGTACACTCGCTTGAGACACGGCGTTATCATCCGTAAACTTTACGCAATTTCCACAACCGATTGTGGTAGCGTTAGTCGTGTTAATTTCGCGCCACGCCACGGTTATTAATAAAATGTTTTCACATTTCGCTTGCATTTGATCGTACCAATCGGATAATATCAATGCACGTATGCGAGCGAGCAAGCGAGTGCCGACACGAGTTATGTCACATAAACGCTATAGACAGCAACGCGTCCAGTTTCTGCGATTTGACTTAAAATGGTAGCGGGTGAAGGTCGAGCAATGGCGAGCTTTGATTGAAATTACGCAACCCGCGAGAGCGCTTGTCTGCGATAGCGGCAGATTTTACAGCTATCTTGTCTCTTTTCCTCTCTTTTCTATCTTCTGCGTCAAAATGACACGGATGATAAAAAAAAAGGGAGAAAAATACTCTGAAATAATCTCAAGATGATTCTGGCGCTGTTACGATACGCACGGATATCGCTTTATAATCGTCCTCATCTGCTATTCCAAAATTTCTCCGACATTTATATCACACTTAGAATATATTTAAACATAAGAAATTGCAAATAACTCCCACAGATATTATGCCCGTATATATCGAGAAGCGAATACATAGTCGCAAATATTTTGTTATTCTACTTAATTCTTTCTCTTTGCTGAAATATATTTTTACATTATTGATGCATATTATACATGGCACCGATACATATTACATTAATGATAACTATTGTCATTATTGCAATGTGATATCGCGCACGGAAAAAGATAATTTTGCCGTTGAAAAAAAACCAATCGTTGCTACTGCATATTCCGGCAGCGATCAAAAGTCGAGTTCGTCACAGAATCACGATGGGATGGGATACTTGATGATCCCGCGACCTCCCACAACAGCTCTTCAGTCAAAAAGTTAAGATTAGCATACCGAAGAAAAGAAGAAGAAAGAACGAGGTTCCGGGAGATCACGCGATCGTGCCAATCGCGATACTAATATCGTAGCGGACTTTGAACGTCGTGAGTTTACATTCTGTGTAAAGCGAACGCAGTCTATCCGGTCGCCACGTTATCTCTGTGGTCAGATACGAGCCCAAAGGGCGAACGTGACGACGACGGCAACAAGATGGACGATGTCGACGACATGGGGAATTAGCTGTGCGATAATAGGCGTCAGTCTCACGAGCAAACACCAAGGTATCATCCTGCGGAGCTGGTGAAATCTCTGCAGTTTATCTCACCATCGATTCGCAGCATACAACCAACCCCTCGTCGAATTCGTTTTCTCCTTGCAGTCGCGAAACGTACCTCGCAGTCTGGCAAAGCGAACGGAAATCGCGAGCGAGTTGCAATGCGTCTAATGGAAAACGAATGCTCTGATATATATCGATTACATTCGAATTTTATTTATGAGTTCATTACGGAGATTCAGCGAAGAAAGTAGTCTACATAGACATGACTAAATATGTAACAATCTTGAATAAACGAAAAAAGCTAACGAATATCTGTACAATAAGCGCGCATTATACGGTACTCATTTCAACGGCACGTGCATGTCGTCGCAAGGCCGACTACTCACCTGCGGTGATTAGTTCGTCATTACGTCCGTTCGTTTCTATTTAACAATCTACTTTCGACTTTGGATAGGAAAGCTTTGCATTATGCATGTATGCAGCGTTAAAGTTGCGAGAACGTTGTTAGCATTGATACTAATATTAACTATTGACGCGCGCAATTATTATAAATTCATAAAAAGGAGAGCGGCAAAAGCTCATTAAAATTCAATACCGCGCTCTAGTATTCTCCTTGAACGTAAATCGATACACGGATTAAATCTATAATTCGCGATACACCTTTACACTTACCTGGCGAAAATCAAGATACTGCGCGATATGCACGCAAATATACGCAAAATCATGCAAAATGCGGAATTTCTATGAGGAGAGGCAGTCGAAAATCTATAAATTACCATGGGAAATAGTCGTTACAGTAAATACGAGCTCATTCACATGTGCGATACTATTTAGCATTATAGTAATTGCTAAACGGCTGTCACTGAGACAAACGAACGTAAAATTTTTTCGAAAAGAACCGTGACTTAGGCGTTAACACCGACTGCTCAAATTCCTCGTAACGTCTCTTCGTCGTGCTCGAACGAAAGCTGACTGAATCATTTCTCTAAAAAGAGAAATGGAAGAGATGCTCGCACTCACAGAGTGACGTTCTGCTTAATGCTGTGACGTGACTGTGTGATGATGAGTGGTTCGATCTACGAGTATCAATCGGCAATTGTAGCAATTCATTCAATTCAATGAAAAGATCCAAATTACACGTTCTGCACTTAACGTATCACACGACATACAATCGTACGATCTAGCTATGGCCTAACTACGATTTATCTAAATTCTACGTGCTGATAAGAGTAGAAGTAAAAAATGTGCCATGCTTAAGATAAGAGACAGATTAATCGAAGCGACAGAAATAACCAGCGATTAAATAATACGGTGCACCACGAAACTCCGGCGATGCGAAAGAATCCAGGAATAAATTTCGCCGCAGATACACTCGACGGGGTAATAGACCTACATACATAGCTATCGAGAAGAAAGACACGTGTACGCATTTAATCCAATGCGGACGTCGAATGAAATTTACTCCGCTCATTTTCCCGAGAGAGCGACTTCGCAAAGTAAACGCGCGCCAAACACCGAAACTGAAATCGTATGAAAAGATTATGCAAAAGTATATCCGCGCTAAAATGTTTTGCGTTTGAGATAAATCGAGGAGCTTAATTCCGCTTTCAGAGGGGGGGAGGGGGCGAAGAATATGAAATAATAAGTCGGGAAATAAAATTAAGAAAAGTTTTAAGAATTTTACCCTCGGATGCGCGCATGTGGTACCTACACGAAAAAAAAATTAGTCTTAAATCAAGAATAGATATTCTCATATATAAGCAAGAATATTATAGTCTTCTTAGGAGACTTTTAGTGACTTGATTTGACTGAATGCATATTGATGCAAGTATTACTTGAACTCAATTCAAGACTAAAAATCTTCTAAGAAGATTATAACATTCTTGCTTATATATAAAAAAAATTAGTTCTTGATTTAAAATGAATTTTTTCCGTGTACGAGGTGCGCTCGATTCTCCGGCGCCGTGTACGCGATATGCCCGTGGCATCACGTACCCACGTCATCCGAGGGCTGAAAATCCGAGCAAGCGACAGACAGGCAGACAGAAGAATATTGCAAAGAGAGAACGTAACGTAGGCGTGAAGTGTGCGGCGCGATATGCGCAATGCGTAGCGGGATATGCGTGTTCGTCTACGAGCTGCACAGCGGCATTTTCCATGCGTTACTCGCTACGACTCACTGTTTGTCGTCCACGATCATGGTGGCGGCACTATCCGGTCACCTTTACTCTTGATCGACTTAACTCCCTCTCGGAGGGGGGTGTGTGCG